ATACATTAGACCCCGCCAATTTTAGGCCAATTTCTGTACTACCAACATTAAGTAAAATTTTTTAAAAAAATATTTCAGATCAGATGTTAAGTTTCTTTAATATTAATAAATTGCTACATAAAAATCAATTCGGTTTTACAAGGGGTCGCTCGACAACTGACGCTGGAGTTGAGCTTATTAAACATATTTTTTGTCCATGGGAGAATTCAGAGGATGCTTTGGGTATATTTTATGACCTTTCCAAGGCCTTCGACTGTGTTCACCATTAGACATTAATCAGGAAGCTACAGTACTATGGTGTCAAGAACACAGCGCTTAAACTTATTATTTCATATTTAAGTAATAAAAAACAGAAGGTTATTATCAATGCTAAAAGTTCTTCCGGGTCACCTGTACTAATGGGTGTTCCTCTGGGCTTGATTGTCGGCCCATTCCTGTTTCTGGTGTATATTAATGACTTACCTCACCTTGTAGGGGATAGTCATAATATAGTATTATTTGCTGATGATACTTCCTTGATTTTTAAACTTAAACGTCAATCATTTAAATGTTACGAATTAAATAATGCTATATCAAAATTAGTGCATTGGTTTAACGTTAATAGTCTGCATTTGAACGGAAATAAAACTAATTGTGTTAAATTTACAACAACGAATGTTAAAAATCTGAATACCAATGTGTTTTTAAATGGGGAGGAAGTGAGCCCTGTTGTATCCACTGTTTTTCTTGGCATCACTCTTGACGCAAAGCTCCAGTGGGGCCCCCATATATCCAAATTAGCAAGCGGACTAAGTTCTGCAGCCTATGCTGTAAAAAAGATTAGAGGTCTCACTAGTGTCAAGACAGCTAGATTAGTTTATTTCAGTTATTTTCATAGCATAATGTCTTATGGGATTTTGCTATGGGGAAATGCGGCTGATTCAGAAACTATTTTTGTTTTACAGAAGAGGGCCATTAGAGCTATTTACAATCTAAAACCGAGAGAGTCTCTTAGAGATAAATTTAAAGAAATAAATATATTAACTTTGGCCTCTCAGTATATTTACGAAAATTTTATATATGTTTACAAAAACAAAGATACTTTTAGTAAAAAAACAAAGATAGTTTTAGTAAAAAAACACTAGGAACAAATACAAGCTAGTTATGCCAGTTTCTCGACTCCACAGAGTCAGTAATTCATTCTTGGGGCAATATATACACTATAACAACAAGGTCCCGGAAAGTGTACAGTTCTCTATATTACCATGTTTAAATGTTTTGTTAACCTGAAACTGTATAAAAAGGGTTATTATAGTATAAATGAATACATGGTTGATAATAACCCCTGGGAATGAGGTGGTCGGTTCCAAGCAGTTTCTAAAATAAATTTTGTAAATAGTTCGTAATCATTTATATTGTAAAATTTATTTTTAAAAAAAGTCCCGCTGTGTTACTTGCTGGTTCTTCCCAGGACAGAGGGTTTTTTTTTCGAACCAGTGGTAAAGTAAAAAATGACTTTCAATAAGAATTACAGATGTAATGTATATTGAATAAAAATTATTCTATTCTATTCTATTCTATCAATTAGCACAATATAATACAACACTTTTGGTATACGATGTTACGTATTGTTAGATAGGTAAAGAAATTATCTATGAGATTAACCTAATATTATACACACATAAATCACATAATATATAATGATTTCCAGAAAAGTGAAAAGTCGGAAATGTTATCAGAGGAAACCGTTACTGGGTGAATTAGTTTTATTAAAGTATATTAATAAAAAGTTTATAAAGTATGTTAAATTATTGAATGTGCTAATTTGTTCAACTATTAAATATAAAAACTATTATAAATAATTTACGTATCAACATATTTCTGTGTCTATTGCACTCTACTCTTTGACTGGTTATTTTAGTATTCTACTATTACCCATTTATTTCCTATACTAAACTTTCAAAGATATTCTAACTCTACACTTGATATTCATTAATAATGCTATCTTAGCTGTTTAATACCATTAAGCTTAGCACAATGATGATATTACACTAATAGTTAAACGACTTGTTTCCACTGATAATGTACTGTGTGCACTTAATAGTGTCACGAAAACTATTTTCAAATAATCCCTATATTGTTAATACGAACTATATTATTTATCGTCGCAGACAAAATTGCACGACAGTTGCGTAGCAATATTTATAATGACAAGACAATGTGATAAGTACTGAAGTTTAATCAGTATTAATTACGTAGCCCGATTTGACTTGTCATTGTTCATATTGTCCGTGCATTATATATAGTGCCCTAATTAATCATTGGTCATAACATACTTATTCTCTTTCTTGTACTATTTGCTTAAAACTAAAAAAAAAAAAACATTTAAAATAGTCGAAACATGCCATTGACATAAAATATTCGGTTGAATTTTGCTCGCTCCAGGATTGGGGTCGAATAGACAGATTTTTTGTAAATAATTTGTATTTATAGAGTTCTCTAAATATTTGACAAAATCACAACTTTCAATCGAAAACAAAATATTTTAAAATACTTATTCATATTTTTAGCGAAATATATTGAATTGCAAAAACAGCTTATTCAAAATAATTCGTATGGAAATGAGATCTGACCTGGGAATATTGAACAATTTTCAACGGATAATTGAATAATATAACGGAACTGCCACTTCTGACCGGCTGTTATATTACACTCATACTTAATTGCTTTGAATCGAATATAGTAAAGTGATAAAAATAACTCATTCCAATCAACAGAAAAATAGGTATGTTTTTGAGTCGTTCAAGATGATTTCTAAAAGAAAATAATTTAAGGTTACTTCTGTTCAAAGCTTTTTCAGAAAATTTAAAAGTACTTCAACGAGCTCAGCCTCAAATTGGAGGCGGTGGTTTTCTTTAGAATTGGGAAAATTTTAACAAGGTCGTGACTTATAATTTTGCACGAGTACCTGATTTTGCTCAAACCAACAAAAGCTTATTATACTATGTAGCCTGTAAATGTGTAAAGCTCTCTATGTATGTAAGTGTCTATGTGTGATTTTATTTTGTTTTTCGTACTCCATATGAAATTAAAAATTGCGAAGTAAAATAAAATAGCCTGTTTAACAATATTGCATAATAATACAAAATATTCGGTTAGATAATAAAAAAGTATTTAATAATAATCATAGTAGTATACAAATTAAAAAAAGACAGTGTTTTCTCAAATAATATTATATCTGTTGATTAAGTTTTCAGTTATTACAAGAAATTACTAGAAAAACATGATAAGAAGACAACTGAGCCAGTACACATAATATTTTTTTATTAAATTTAGTTTTAAATATATCTCTAAATTACGTAATTACATTTGCACCTAAAGACAACTTCATAATATATAAGTATTCTTTATACTTGAGACTGCCACTCTGTGTGACTGTTGGTCATGAGGTCCTGGGTTCGAATCCTAGGTCGGGCCAAAAATCAGTTATTGATTTTTTCCGTCAAAACATTTTGAGTAGCTGCTCGGAGTCAGGAAGTTGACGGTGTCTCACCTCATGCCTTGGAAAGCACTTAAAACCGTTGGTCCTGCGCATGATCTCTCTTCGGTCGTTTCGGTTTACCGTTCCATCGGAATAGAGAGTGCACCTGTGCTTGCGCATAATCTTGAGCACTATAATCCTGTTCTGTGCCGATGGCTAGTCTCCGTTAAGGCTGGCCGCCATGATCGATACCGAATATCTGGTATGTGTATTATCAGAATAAAAGGTACTTAGTCCAGATTCATGTTATCAAACTATATTAATTCTATATTAAAAATGAATTTACAATGTACGAAGAGAATTATAAAGTTTATTGGCATGGATTCCGATCTCGCATTGCAATAAACATTACAAAAATCTGTCGCAATCCAATTTGGCAATCGGCGTGTTGCTGGTATCAAGTAACGACCTTATTGTAGATAATGTTTAAAATTGTTTTGAGCCCTATTTTTTATGAACCAAGTTTTGATTTTCAAGTTATCTAATACTTTTATTTCCTTACATTGCTGTATTAAGTTTATAATCACCAACAGTATTTATTTTATTTATTTGTTTATTGTTGCACCTCCTGGTCACTGCTATCTTCTCTATTGAAATTTGGATGTTTTTATAGAACTTTTATTTGTACTATGTACGAGAGACCACTTGTACTTCTTCATAATTTAGCTTGTACACCCCTGCGTCTTGCAGAGGGATATTTAAATTGACGGATGGTAAGAATTTAAACGTCGGGAATTAAGAATAAATTAAATTAAACGCGATAAAATTCGTAAAATTAGTTTTATTCAAAACAATTAATTTCTGTCAAGAATTGAACTTTGTTCATTATTTTAAAAATATTGTCTTGATAAACTTTAAAACCAACTACAGATATTTATAAGTTAAACTACAGCCTATATACCTCCCATTGCTGAGCGCAGGCCTCCTCTCATTTCTAAAAGGGTTACGGAGTGAATTAGTCTGACACCTTGGTTTACGTTTTGGCATATTTCTTATAAGAAAGACCCTCAGAACCCTCAAAATATTATATTTTTAAGACATTCATACTTCTTCTGGTTTTTTATTTAATACATATATTGCAATTAAAACTATTGTTGATACTGGCGAGTAGTAAAACTTACGACGAGTGCAAAGCTCCTGTGCTATTATGGCAATTTTTTAACATTTCATGTACACAAAACAAATTGAGAGGATATATATTGTTTGTTCGATATATATTGTAATGATTACACATAATACTGTACTTAATTATTTATTTGAACTGAGTTTACAATAAAATACGACAACGAGGTAATGGGAACAAAATTTATATGAACTATAGCCAATAAAAAAAATCCTTCATTTGTCGCATCATAGACATGCGCTTTATGTTTATTGTTTATGGACATTTCCTCAATGTCCAACAGTCTCTCCCACATTATTTTACAGGATTAGCCTATCCAGTTTCCATCTTATTCTTTGTGATCAACGGTGCCCAATTTCAGGTGTATCCAGGTAATGTAGGTTGCGGCGGTTCTTGTTCCGGTTGTTTTTGCACCGGCAGATACTCCTTTACAGGAATTTGTAAAAGAAGTGAAGTTTTCATCTTTACTGGACTGGATTCTGGAGCTTCCTTCATTTTATGGTTGTTCTCAGTAGGTATGGCTTCTTGCAGAAGTTTAGAAGTTAGCTAATAGGTATTTGGTATGTAAGGGTTTTCACTAGTACATAAGTTTTTGGTAATTTGGTCCACTTGCCCAAGGTGTATCCTACCATCTAACTCTACCTCATAATGTAGTTTTTCTCTTCTGTTCATAATCTTTCCAAATTTCCATTTATTGCTGTCATATACTCTGTCTCCTCTGTTAAATTCTTTGGTTACTTTTATATTCCCATTCTTGAATTTCTTTCCTGTATCTTCCCTTTTCACTAAATCTATCCTTGTTCTATACAATCTCTTAAACATCATCTCTGCAGGGCTCAGACTCGTAGAGCTATTTGGTATCTTCCTGTACATTCTTAGAAATTTTTGAAGTTTGTCCTGTAATGATCTTTCTTCATTATCTATTGCTTTTAGTTTATTTTTGAATGTCTGAACATATCTTTCTGCTTGCCCATTTGTGAAAGGGAGAAACGGTCCAAAGAACTTTGCTTGAATTTCATTTCATTTCAAAAATTTTAACATTTATTCTGACTAAAACTGTCTACCATTATCTGAAACATGAGTGATTGGTAGGCCAAATGTAGTATATAGCTTTTTGAGTATAATTATGGTTGATAAAGATGTGATAGACGTTGTTGGTATGACTTCTATTCACTTTGTATTAGCATCCACAACAATAAGGAAATATTGATTCATAAATGGTCCTGCATAATCTATGTGAATTCGGCTCTATGGCTCTTTTGGATGTTCCCAACTGTGTACTGGTACTTTTATAGGGTTTTTATGCATCAGGCAACACATCTTGCATTGCTTTGCCATCTTTTCTATATCTTTATCAATATTCTTCCACCACACATAACTTATTGCTAATCCTTTCATCTTCGCAATGCTTGTCTGCGCTGAAAGTATTTCGTCTAAGATAATAGAATGTAACTGTTTGGGTATAACAATTCTTGTTCCATAAAAGTGCAGTTGCTTTGTAGAGAAAATTCATGAAATCTCTTAGGGTCACTTCTACCTGATTAAATATCCATGTAGAGCTTTTGTAAGTCTTGGTCTTTTCTAGTAGCTTTTATAATTTCTTGTAGTGTAACTGGCATTTTTGAGATTTGATTAAAGTAAAATGCATCATGATCAGTCAGATTGTCATTTTCTGTTTCTGTCGACTTTTTTTTTATAGGAGAGGGGGCAAACGAGCATGCGGCTCACCTGATGGTAAGTGACTACCGCCGCCCATGAACAACTATAACACCAGGGGAATCGCAGATGCGTCGCCGCCCTTTTATCAAGAAGTAGGCTCTTTTCTTGAAGGTCCCTAAGTCGTATCGGTCCGGAATAATCCCTGGTGGTAATCGATTCCACAAGAAAGTTGTGCGAGGAAGAAAACTTCTTCTAAATCGCACAGTGGTGGACCGCCAATCATCCAGATGGTATGGATGGTATCGTGAGTTTTGTCGCGATGTGCGATGGTGAAATTGGGCGGCTGGAATTAGTCCGAACAATTCCTCAGAGCACTCCCCGACAAAATCTCTCGACAAAATCAAACAAAAAACGCAGTGCCAATGAGTCAAGCCGATCGGAAAGAACTTGGTCGTCGACGATTCGAACCGCTCTGCGCTGGAAGCGGTTAAGTGGAAGGACCAGTATTCCATGTGAGGCCGAACCTGCGCCTTGTAAAGTTGCAAGCGGTGTGCCGGCATGAAATACTGTCCCGCTCTGCTGAGCACGCCAAGCTTTTTAGAGGCCAATTTGGCCTTCTCTACCAAGTAACCACGAAACTGCACGTCACTCGATATGTCGACACCAAGGATCCCGATACTGGCTGAGGCAACAAGGGGAGTGCCTTGAAACTGAGGAGATACGACAAAGGAGTTCTTTTTAGCGGTAAATGCGCAAACTTGTGTCTTCTGGGGATTGAATTGGACTAGATTTAGTCGACCCCAGTCTGAGACCTTTGATCAACAAAGTCTCGACTTCAGACAGTAGTTTGTTCCGGTACTCGGCGACGTTTTCCCGAGAAATATTGGCACGGCCGGTGTATAAAGCATCATCAGTGCTGTCGTCTGCATAGCAATGAATGTTACTGGTTTGCAACATATCATTGATATGCAGAAGAAACATCGTTGGTGATAGCACGCAAACTAGTGGAACACCAGCGTTAACGGACTTGTAATTGGAGCATACACCGTCTACTACGACCTTGATGCTCCGATCTGCAAGAAAACTCGTGATCCAATTGCACAATTTCTCGGTAAGCCCATAGGAAGGGAGCTTCGAAAGAAGCGCTTTGTGCCAAACCCGATCGAAGGCATTATTTAATCTTGAAAAGTCGTCAGCATTTGCATGTTCTGTAGTCTTTCTGAGTTTTATATCTTAGTCAAAGCCTGCTAAGAAATTTGCATAGTGCACCAGTCTAATCGCTGTAGTAGCCGGTGTAGCTTTTTCTGGATATAAAATTCTAGACATGGGTTGGTTGTCAATAATCAATGTAATTTTTCTTCCATAGCAGTATTGGAAGAACTTCTTTACTCCCCATATCACTGCTGCTGATTCTTTATCGAGTTGGCTGTAACCTTTCTCAGCTTTAGTAAAAGGTTTTGATGCAAACGCAATGGGTCGTTCAGTCTTATCTTGCATATTATGTGATAACACTGCTCCAAATCACCGACGCCAAGGCATACCGTCCAATTACGCTCCTCCCTGTTTTGGGAAAGTTGCTAGAACGCGTAATGCTGAGATGTGCTCCTGCGATTAGTCGTGGGATATCAGAATACCAGCATGGATTTTCTCCGGGGCGATCTACGGTAACAGCGCTGCGTGTCTTGCTCAGCACGGCAAAGTATTCTCGGGCATGCTACGTGCAGGCAATCTTTCTTGATATCTCCGGCGCCTTCGACAACGCCTGGTGGCCGATGATGATGGTTAAGGCGAAACGAGGTGGTTGTCCACCCAACATTTACAAAATGCTGGTGGATTACTTCACCTCCAGACGTGTCGGCCTTTTCATCGGTGACCGGGTAGAGTGGAAGACGTCGACCATGGGATGTCCTCAAGGCTCCGTGCTGGGCCCTACACTGTGGAACGTATTGATGGACGACCTACTCCGACTCCCTCTGCCTGAGGGAGTAGCAATGACCGCCTATGCTGATGATGTCACTATTCTCATTGAATCACAAACCAGAGCGGGCATCGAATCCAGGGCCCGAGTCACTCTGGACCTTGTACGGGAGTGGGGGCTAAGGAATCGACTGGAGTTCTCCTCATCAAAGTCGACCACAATGACTGTTAGAGGGAAACTTCAGCGCCCCCCCGTTATTAAACTTGGTGGAGAATCCATCAAGAATGTGACCAATACTAAGGTACTAGGCGTGGTTTTGGATTCGGGACTATCGTTTGTGCAACACGCGTCCGATATTTCTGAAAGAGCGACCAAGGGATTCGGTAAAATGTCTCGCGTATCGACGTCATCATGGGGCGTCCGATACCCGAGCCTAAAAATAATCTATAGAGGAGTGTATGTATCCACGCTTACGTACGCGGCAGAGTGCTGGTACGAGCGTGCGAACATGTACGCAGTTCGCAGTGCACTACTCAGATCGCAGCGAACCGCCCTTATATTGTTGACCAAGGCGTACCGATCCACTAGCACGGCGGCCTTGCCGGTGCTGGCTGGTGTTCTTCCTGCTGACCTGGAGGTCATCCGTGCTGGTAGGATGGGTATGGCACGTATGAACGTGCCCAAAGAGGAGTTGAGCAGGCGGAAACGCGAAATTTGGACTGAGGTGATCGGTGTATGGCAGGATCGATGGATGAATGACTCAAAAGGACGCGAGCTCAATCGATTTTTCCCGGAGGTGGCGTTGAGACTCAGGTATACCTGGGTCTCACCGGACTATCAAACCTCCCAGATTCTCACCGGACATGGATGCTTTCGGAAGAGACTGAGTGAAATGCGACTGTGTGAAACAAGTATGTGTGAGTGTGGTGCGATAGAGGAGGACGTTCACCATGTTCTATGGGAATGTCCTCTGTATGACGACCTAAGGACGAAAATGATGGATGGACTAGTTCGGTCGGTTCAGGGACCGGTCTATTACTCGGATCTCGTCAGCGGTGAGGTGAACTACGGGCTGTTACGCGAGTTTGCGCACAGATGGCATGACCGCAGGAGAAGTAGCGACAGAATGTTGGCAGACAGGACTGACGACGTAGGCGTCAGTGTGCCGTCAGCCCCAGAAGGGGGAGAATGACGTAAATACAGGGACAAGGAACAGATTAAATATTTGTAGGGAGTCAAGAAAGTGCGCGCGGGAAAGAGCCACGTGCAAGTACCGCGCGCATCTCCCGAGATTCGGCCCGTATGACCTGAGGGTCGGTGGGGCCATGGGAGGTGGTGGGTTGCTCCAAATCTAGTAGGTGATGCATCTGTAGCAAGGGTAACAGGTAAGTTCTCATGAAAGGGTATTAAAACTTTTTTTACACAAATTTCACCTTTTAAAACTTGGAAAATTTTCTTACATTCTTTGGACCATATAAACACTTTATCTTTCTGTAATAGGTTGTAAAGTGGGTTTAACTTTGATGCTAAATTTGAATTGAACTGTCGATAATAATTGATCAAAAAGGTACGTAGAGATGAAACATCAGTAGACCGTGGGCTATTCTTGATATCATTAATCTTATTTCGAGTAGGATGTAATCCATTTTCATTAATATTATGTCCTAGGTAGGTTACTGAGTTTTAGAGAAATTGATATTTCTTTTTATTCAGATGTAATCCACATTTTTGTAAATTCTCACAAACTGTTTTATTATTGGTAACAATTAAATTTATGTGCTTTCCTGTATGGCTATATAATCTAAAAAACAGGCTACACCATCTATTCCTTGTAGCGTTTGATCCATGTACCGTTGCCAAACATTTGGTTCTACCTTAACACCAAACATTCATCTTTTCACTTTATAGGTACCTTTACATGTACTGATGGCCTGCATCTCTGCTGTCTCATCACTAGTTAGCATGTGTAGATATGCTTGATTAGTATCAAGTGTGCAGAAGTACTTTCCACCTCTCAATTTTGAAAATATTTCAACAATTATTGGAATACGATAGTTGTCACTTTCAAGACTTTTAATTAAAGTTGCTCTATAGTCTGGACATAAACGTACCTTGCCATTTTGTTTAATGACGGGGACGACAGGCGTACTCCATTGTGAGTATGTGATATTTTCAAGAATGCCTGATTTTTCTAATCTGTCAATTTCTGCGTCTACTAGATTTCTCAATGCAAATGGTACAGGTCGTGGTTTTAAAAATATTGGTACTGGTCCCTCCTTTAGTTTAATTCTTTATA